ACAGGAACAGGAACTGGTCAGGCTAATCACGGCTGACAAAAGCCACACCTAAAGAAATAACTGTATTTGGCAATAATCAGAACCATGGAATGGTTTGGGTTGGGAGGCACCTTAAAGGTCATCTGGTTCTAACCACCCTGCCGTGGGCAAGGACACCTTCCACTGGATCAGGTTGCTCAAAGTCCCATCCAGCCTGGCCTTGAACACTTCTAAGAAGAGGGGCATCCACAACTTCTCTGGGCAAGCTGTTCCTATGTCTCACCACTCTCACTGTAAAGAATTTCTTCCTTATATCTAAATGTTCAGGATTGACTTGGGGTTTGGCTTTCTGAATTGGTCTGGAAGAGGATGCACGATAAATGCTTTCTGCTAGGGGTCTTCTTGCTGTTGTCCTGCCAGTCACCTGAAACCTGGTCTGTGGTCCTGGGTCTCTTGGAGTGGTAAAAAATAGGGGAAGTCTGCTCTGGATGGCTTTGAGGCTGGCTGATATTTTAGCCATTAAACTTTGAATGACTAGCTGCTGCCTTCCTCACCATACTAAGTTAAATGGATAATTTAGATGGACGATACATTGTGCAAGGCAAAGATAAAGTGCAAGAGTAGCTGAAGGCTGCTCATTTTCTTTGCAAGTAAAAAGCAAAGACAAATCCTTTATGGCTGTTCAGAGTGAGCTCCTGAAGATTAACTTCAGTTCTGTCCAGTCATAACTATCTGGGTGGTTTGAGGGCAGGGGGATTATAACAAGGTTAATACCTATCTTGCATGATCAAATTTACACTTCAAAAACTATATAAGACCTATATAAACATTGAAACTACAGCAAAGAGCAAGCAAGGAAGATGCTAAATTATCACTAGAAAGATGTACAAGCAATGTAAGAGAAAGGCAGGGGGTGTAGATCCTGAAAATTACTTATTCAGTGCTGAGAGAAAGTGTCCGTTTCACTTTTACCTCAGTATAAAAACTGTTAGAAAATGCATGGAAAGGTGCCCATAGTGTACAGGGAAGGTATTTATGAGTGAGCTGAAGAGAGCACAGGCAGCTCACAGCAGCCATGCAGCAGTAGGTTGAAAGCTGGAGGCTCAGATGGCTAAAGTCACAGGAGCCATAAGGGCAGCAGACAGGTAATGCCAGCAGGTCACAAACCTGGACTGGTGTGCGGCTGGATCACCCTCAGCTCTGCCTCATGTCCCCCAGACAAACCAAACCACAGAAGCTCCTTCAGCTGATGGAGAACTTATTCAAACTTCAGTGTCATAAATCACTGAAGTCTTTGGATACGCAGCACACACCCAAAAAATCTCAGACATTTTCTTAAGAACAGAACAGAAATATTTCAGTTGGAAGCGACCTACAACAACCAACTAGTCCAAGGGCCTGACCACATCAGGTCTGATCAAAAGTGACAGCGTTTTACTGAGGGCATTGTTCAAATGCCTCCAGCAATCACCTGTTTCTGGAGGAGGAGAGAGATAAAGCAGCATCTGGGGTTTGGGTCAGTTTATTGTAGGTCTACTTTTGTTGCGAAGTCTTCCCTTCCTGGGCTCCCCAGATTCTTGATGGTGTAACAAAAGATGAATTAGCCTCCCTCACTGGATGATATTTCAAGTTTCCTTCCTTGCTCAGAGCTGAGCTTCCCGACAGGCTCCCCTTTGCATTGTTTTCCCAGCTGCTCCACCCCCTGCCATTTAGTGTCAGCTGGGGATGCTGCAGAGTAGCTGGGAAGAAAAACAGAGCTGAAGGACTACAGTGGTCATTAAGAAAAATAACAGCTTGGAGAGTGCAGGCTGCAAAAATGTAATTATGAAGATGTTTGCTATTCAGGCAGGGACAACTTCCAGTGCTGATAACATTATTTATCACCTGCAGAGCACTTCAGACACAATCACTAATTAATCCTTGTGACAACTTGGAGTTACACCACTGTGTTCATCTCCCCCTTTTACTGTGCAAGGAACCAGAGACATTAAGAGCCCAAAGAAGTAAAGGTCAAAATGAGCACTAGGGCAGAGAGATGCTCACCCCCAGCTCTATCTCAAAGGAGACTTTCTTTCTGTAGGATGGTCTTTTGCTGACTATATTGCCCCATTAGCAATATACATACAGGAGAGATTTTCCCACCCCATTCCAGAGTATATAGGAAAGACACAAGGCAGCTAACAACCAGTGGAATAAATAGATCAATGCATTCGCTCTCAGAATATGATGAAGCAAAGTAAGGAGTAAGCAAAGTCATGGACCAGGTCACAGGGGAAGGAATAAGCCAAGTCATTAGCCCAATCCCAATCATACAGTAATTGCCAAGAAACAGCATCATTACATGCCTAATACTCTTTCTGTCCTGATTGTGATGGTGTCCTGCCATTGCTGAGAACTCTACTTGTAGTAGATAGTCAGGAAACCCTACATAGTGCACCCCTGCAAGCAGAGCCAGCCTTTATATACTGTCACCTTTAGAGGCAGGACACCTGATGTTAATTCTAAAGGCAGGGCACCTGGTGGTGATCTCCTAATTGGTTTTCACCCAAGGTTGGCCAGGCCTTGAGAGAAAACTAGGAGGAAGGTCTCTCATGCCTGGTTGTGGACGTCATCCGTATGTCAACCCTAATTCAGGGCTTGGGGTTTAAACCCCAGCACTTCAGATGGTGAAAACCCGTGTAAAGGGAATCCTTTACCCCTGCCACTAAAACCACAAGCCTGTACAACATAAATCACATGAACAAGGGAAAACTGGCTCAATGTTGTTATGAAAACTCATTGCACAAAGGTTGTAGAGACCTTTGTTTAACCCAGTGCTACAAGTGATCCCCGTACCTCAGGGAGTGGGGCAGGGGACTGCCCTCAGCCTCCCAGGCAAAGCTCCCCTTGAGCTTCTGCCACTGAGGCAGACTGCTGTGCCTGCTGCCCACTGCATGGGAGATGGTTTTGTCCCTACACAACCCTGAGAACCAAACCAGGCTGCTGGCAAAGGGCAACAAGGTAACACATCATCCTATAAGTCAGGGTAACACAGCTTCAATGGAAATATTGCCAAAAACAGGCAAGAAAACCAGGGAAGAAAATCAAAACCACTTGAGAGCTTGTTTAAGCACCCTGGCAGTTAGTGAGCACTGTCTCACAGAATTAGCCTATTTCTTCTATTTAACAGGGAGAGAGGGAGGTGGTTCTTTCTTCATTCAAATTGTGTTAACTTTTCTTTTAATGGCAAAGCCTAGACAGAAGCAAATGAGATGCAAGCTAAATGAGGGTGCTGGTTTGAGCTGGAGTACATCTGAGCAGCAGCTTTTGGCTATCACTGAAACTGTTCTTGCTTTCTCAAAGCAGAACAGTTCATTGCTAGGACACCCTCATTGTGCATGTTCCATGTGCTGATCCCTAACACAGTGTAAGAGTCCACACTGGCATCAGCAAGACCATAAAAACTGCTGTAACACACTGGGTTTGCAATCCAGCTGGTGTGATGCTGCTTCCAAAACCTCATCGGAGGGATGTGCAAGGGCAGCTATGGGCTGCAGTGGGGCTGGATGTTTCCTCCTGACCTTCCATCATCAGGCAGCTGCCTGCAGCATGAGATCCCCAGCTAAAGCTCTGCTTTATCACCACCCACAGCTCACTCTAGAGAGCCCCACTTGGAGGTCTCTTGCTTCAGTGACCTGTTGCAGCACTGAGCTCTGCAGTCTCATTTTAAGCCTCTGTTTCAACGCCTCGCATTTGCTGTCACAGTGTTCATCTAAGAAAGCTTTGTGCTGGTGTTGCTCTACCCCAAAACCAGCAGCTCCCAGTTTCATCTGTCATTCCTGGGTAAACAATCATGAGCTTTTCAATTTATCTTCAAATTTTTTTTTCCTGTGTCCCTAATGATCCTTAGTGCTTATTGTTGAATCTTTTTAGATTTGTTTTAAAGTCTTCTTATATGCTTATCTGTTCATCTAACCATCCATGCTCTGGTAAGACATTTCTCCAGAAACTGCCAGTATTTCCATCCAAATTTACTTGCAAATCAAATGAAAACATGCTTGAAAAATTATTCACAGCTTCTGTCTTTTTTATTGTAGCCCCAAAGAATACTAATTGGCTTGTAAGTATAATTCTGATTTTACACTTGATACTCATGCATTTGTGCCTTTTATCAGCTACCTTTTCCCTTTTTGTTAATTACTTTTTGCTTAAAGGAATTGTTTCATCTCTGTTCTTTGGCACACTGTCTCCTTCCATTTGGAAGATGCTTGCTCCTTTTCTCCTCCGAGTTGGGCACACGCTGCATAGCAAAAATATTAAGCCTGTTATCAGAATATATTCATTACATACTTCTGAGCAGCTGACCCGAGTGGCAGAATTTCTCCATCACTGATGGTGACACTCAAAGGCAAGATACCACTGGAGCCAAGGAAACCAGCCCCTGTAAATTGCTGTGCAACTTAGAGACACAGAGTGAGAGAAATGCTGCCAAAAATCAGAAAGGAAACCAAGGGAGAAACCCAGAAACACTTGAGAGACAGATCTTGACCTTGGGAGCAACAGAATTGACTCGTTTGGCTTCTAGACACTTTTGGCAATATAGGTGCACATCATCTTCCTAAGTACCATTTAAAATTAGTACCAATATGTTTGTTGAAGATTGATCTTGGAAAGAAACCTATCATATTAACAAAATCTGTACTCTCATAAACCATCACCATTGTCCTCCCCCTCACCCTGCCAGACTGTGTGCTGGTGCTTTTTCACGTGTTTCTGTTCAATGGCACTAAATGACTCTCCACTCTTCCAACCAGACCCTTCAGCTGGTGCCAACAGCAGCCTCATCACAACAGCAGCTGTTGGGCTGAAAACAACTGATCGAACTTCTCAGGTGATTGCATTTGTTGTCACCCCTGCTTAAATGCCACCTTGTTGCCAAGGGAAAGCTCTCAGGGATTGCCAAGGAAGCTGGCAAGCAGAGAACAACCAACACCACCATTTTTCTTGGTCTTAATGCACACCTAACATGGCACAGTACTCACCGCTGGACCCAGCTTCTCCAGGAGATGATGAAAAAAGTTGTCAAGCTCCTTCCCTTCTATGTAGCCATTGTCTAAATAAAAGAAAAATTAATGGTCAGGCAGCATCACCTGAGCTCTGGGAGCCATGTCGTGGGCTGCACGGTGGGGCCTCAGCTGGGGGGTTCCTACTGGAGGTCTGTGTGGGTGCTGGACACAGCACTGGGGAGCTCCCTGAGGGGTTTTCCTCAAGGAACACTTTCCAGGGGAAAAAAACTCACAAACGGGGACCGCACGAGGGAACAGCAGAGGGAGCAGGGAGGTAACAGAAAGGCAAAAACTTTGGGGTGAAAAGGAGGAATTTCAGACCTGACATTAGGGCACAAGAAGGAGGAGGAGGAGGAGGAGAAGAGGT